TGTTACCCAGGCTGGAGTGCAATGGCGTGATCTCGGCTCACCGCAACCTCCGCCTCCTGGGTTCAGGCAATTCTCCTGCCTCAGCCTCCTGAGTAGCTGGGATTACAGGCATGCACCACCATGCCCAGCTAATTTTTTGTATTTTTAGTAGAGACGGGGTTTCACCATGTTGACCAGGATGGTCTCGATCTCTTGACCTCGTGATCCACCCGCCTCGGCCTCCCAAGGTGCTGGGATTACAGGCTTGAGCCACCGCGCCCGGCCGGCCCTTTTAAGAAATTGAAGGCTAAGCGATCTTGTCCCCCGAAAAATGGGCAAACATTTTGGGGGGTGGCTCACGATGGACCCTAAGTGTCCTCAGTCTCCTCAACAGAATATCAAGTCTTAAAGCCAGGCTATCTTGGGATCATTCAAGCAGCTACACCCCTTCGCCCCAGCCTCCTGCCCAGGGCTCCCAGGATGAGGCACCTGCCACGGCGTGCGGGTCAGAGCAGAACTCCTCCAGGCTGTGGGGGTCCGAGGCCATCGTCTGCTTGAGGCGCTTCAGCACCGAGGCCCCAGCGGCCAGACGGAAGAGCCCCTGGGTTGGAGAGGGAGCAGGTGGGGGTCACAGAGGAGTGGGCAGGGCAGGACAGCCTGGCTCCCCTGTAGCCTGGGCCGTGCCAGTGGCCCTCGCTGGGCCTGTGTCCCGACTGGTCTGGCCAGCAGAGTGGGCACCACAGTGTCCATGGACTTCAACACTCAAGGTCTAGAATTCTGAGCAAAGGGTGGGGCTGAGAAGTCTGGGAGGAGCTGGGAAAAATCATGGGGAAATCGGAGCCCAGTTAGAACTGGAAGGGAGGTCAGGCATGGTGGCTCATGCCTGTAATCCCAGCACTTTGGTAGGCCCAGGCAGGCGGATCACCTGAGGCCAGGAGTCTGAGACCAGCCTGGCCAACATGGTGAAATCTCATCTCTACAAAAAATACAAAAAAATTAGCTGGGCATGGGGGCGAGCACCTGTAATCCTAGCTAATTGGGATGCTGAGGCAGGAAAATCGCTTGAACCTGGGAGGTGGAGGTTGCAGTGAGCCAGGATTGCACCACTGCACTACAGCCTGGGTGACAGAGCCAGATCCTGTCTCAAAAACAAACAGACAAACAAACAAAAGGGCTGGGCGCGTGGCTCATGCCTGTAATTCCAACACTTTGGGAGGCCGAGGCAGGCAGATCACCTGAGGTTGGGGGTTCAAGACCAGCCTGGCCAACATATAGTGAAATCTCATCTCTGCTAAAAAAATAAATTAGCTGGGCATGATGGCAGGGGCTTGCAGTCCCAGCTACTCGAGAAGCTGAGGCAGGAGAATCGCTTGAACCCAGAAGGCAGAGGTTGCAGTGAGCCAAGATTACACCACTGCACTCCAGCCTGGGTGACAGAGCAAGACTCCATCTCTCTCTCAAAAAAATAGAAGTGTAAGGGAGAAAGGAGGCCCCGGGGGATCGCTGGGCAGCTGAAGCCTGTTTTGGGGTATCTGCCACCTCTATGGTGTATATTCAGGACAGGGGGCAACGTATTCACAGCAGATCCAGACCCAGCCACTGTGGGGCAGTGGAGCATCTGGTTTCAGAAGCACCTTCTCCTATGACTGGGCATGGCTACCTTTGCACCTCTGTCTGCCTCTTGCGAAATGGAGCCAATAAGGGCTCCCTTCAAGTGTTACTGTGATAAGCAAATGAAGCAAGGAACGTAAAGCCTTTTAGCTCAGTGCCTGGTGCACATGAGCATCGACAGGCAGGACGAAGTGTGGATGCTGCAGGAGGCAGCCATGCCTTCTCCCAGGGACCTGGGCTCAAATGCGGGAATCACAGGCACCGGGGCAGGGCAGCATGTGGGGGGTTTGGGACAGAATGAGGGCCCCAGTGTTCCTTCCCCACCTGCCCCAAGGGGCCCCACCTCTTCCTTCATGCCCTCAGAAAGCAGCATCATGACGCAGGCCTCGATGGGCAGGGCAATCTCCCGGCCCAGCTCTCGAAGGTGGGTTGCCAGCGACACCCCATACACCCTGGAGAAGGGGGCCGTCATCGAGGGGGAGTGGTCTGCAGGGACGAGACAGATCAGTGGCCCAGGGCCTTCCCGCCCTGGGCAGTCATCCAGGGGCACCCCTGATGTCTTCAAGGTGACACCACCTGCTACTGACTGTCCAGGCACACGTCTGAAATCATCCATCACATCTGTGGACTCGGCCTGCTCCACTGCCTCTGCCCTAGGCCTAACAGGCCTGGCTCTAGTCCTGCCCCCTTCATTCCACCCTCCACAGGGCACCCAGAGCAGCCTCTCCATCACAGATCAAATCCAGCTCTTGGAACTCATCCATAGCTCCCTGGTGCCTTTCAGATGAAGTACCAGCTTCTCAATAAGCCCCGGGCAGGGCGGGGTCAGGGATGTGGCATCACCAGGGCTATGTCCCCACCTGCTTGGCCGTGGTTCTCCCTCAGCTCAGCCAGGGCTGTGTCCAGCGAGCTCAGTGACCTGCGATGGTAATCGGCCTGAATCTCCAGGAGCTGTGGGGACGAAGGGACACCCTGAGTGGCAGTGAGGGAAGCTGAGCCTTCCCCAGGGTCCTTGAGAGCAGGCGCCCCTTCTACCATCTCACAGGGTCCCAGTGGCCCCTGGCTCTGGCATTCAGCCCCCGAGTTCTGGATGGCTGCGGCCCCATCTTGGACTCACATGAATAAAGTAGTTGGCATAGGAGTCCTCCTTGGTAACAAAGTGGTACAGGTCAGCCAAGTACTCGTCCTTGGGGACAGAGAGAGGAGAGTTTATATCGGGTGAGGCTGGGGGGGTCTAGAGGGGAAGCGGAGGCTTCCAGGCCACACAACTGCAAATGGAAGGTCCCAGCCAGGCTCCTCTCTCTGCCGAGTTTGGTGCTTGGGGCCAGCCCATGGGCACCCCCTCAAACTCTTCTGGCTTCTCAGCCCCATCTATGTGTCCCCATTGCCTTAGCACAGTGGCCTGTTACTCACCATCCAGCCATTTGTTCATTCACTTACTCACTCAGCAAACACACACAGACTCAGGGAACAGACCAAGTCTCTGCCTCCCGTGTTATGCTAGAGTGCAGACAGAAAAGGCTACCAGGGAATGGCGGAGCTCTGCTGCCTCCTGGCCACGTGGCTGAGGCAAATCACATCACTTCGCTGAGCTTCAGCTTCCTGGCCTGTGAGATGGGGCTGGCACCCACCCCTGCCACCCCTGCACATCCAGGAAACCCACGTGGCCCTCACCCTGCACTGCTCCACCTTCCTCTTCAGCTCCTCCTCCTCCTCCTTCAGCGTCTCCACCTTGTTGGCCATGGTCATGTGGCTGTGACTACCTGGGCCGCCTCCCAGGCCTTGACCGCTGCCTGAATTCTTGGCTGCCTGACTGAGCCTGGGGATGATCCCAAGGTGAGCTGTCACCTGCCCTGTTGCATGTCCAGAACCAAGTGTGCCCTCCATAGAGCAGACCACAGGGGATTCTAGGATTTAAAAGCTGCAAATCTGAGAGCTCCACTGGCCCGGGCCTCTGCCCAGCCTGGGCCATGAGTGCTCTGGGTCGCCCCCTGGTGGCAAGTTTGGTGATCACAGACACCTAGCAGAGCAGAGAATGGGGGAGCCACACCGGCATCTTGCAGGACTGTTTATGGCCACCCGAGGCTTTGGGGTGGCCCCAGCACCAGCTGTGAGATGCACGGGCACACCCTCACAGATACCCTCACTGCCTGTGTTCCTAGGGACCAGGCATGCACAAGCACATACAATGTACTCAGCGGACCCCTCGGCATCCTGGTGCGGCCATCCCTGTGGGCTGACCCAGAGATGAGTCCCCTGAGTGGCTGGGGCTCCCACCTGCTCTTGAGCGTGTTCCAGTCGGACACGAGCTTCTGGAGGCTTTTCTTGTGCTTGAGGATGGCTGGCAGCTCCTCCTGAGGACAGGCATGGCAGGGGAGTCAGCGTGCTAGAGCGGAGGGAGCCAGAAGCTGGGGAAGCTGGGGGCTGGAGCAGGGCACAGGCTCACCTCACTCAGCCTGCTGAGCGGCTGCAGGACGTCCCTCTCCAGGGTCATCTCAAACTCGGCCAGGATGCGGGCCAGCTGGTTCTGGATGGCACAGCTCATCTCCAAGGCCTTCCTGTGGACACAGCGGCCCATGGGCCCAGGCTCCCGCCGCCCTCACCTCCACTGCAAACTCTTGCTGGGGCCTCCCCTCCCTCACTTCTGGCCCCTCCTAGATACCCTTCCAGGCCTGGCCACCTTCACTGACCTGGGCACTGTCCCCAGCCTGGTCATTCTTCTGATGTGGACGCCCTCACCACCTGCGCCCCCTCCCAGCCAAGATTGTATCTTGGTACCCCCAGGTGAGGGCTGCACCCTGTCTGTGCTCACCCCATGCTGGAATCAGGGTCCAGCTCCTTGAAGCTCTCCGCCATCGTGGTAGACAGAGCCATGAGGGGAAGCTTCTTCTGCAGGGAGGGCGGGGCCGGCGGTGAATGTCCACACCTCCCTCCACCCTGCCTGAGCACCAGGCCAGCCCCTTGGGGCACGGGAGGAGGGAACCCAGGAGGGCCACAGTCACAGATAGAGTAGAAATGACATGACAAGTCATGGTGGGGTGACATTTCCCTGAGACCATGTACACAGCCCCTACCCATCTGGGGGCCCCTTTTCTTCCTTCCAGAAGCCACTTGAAAAGAATGACCAAGTCCCAGCAGAGACTGGGAAAGTAAGATGCAGGGAGGGCAGGGGGCTTGCCCCAGGTCACATGGGTAGAGGGAGAACGGGAGGGGAGCTGGCCTGGGCGTGGGGGCTCTTTCCCCTGTCCCAGGGCATATGTGGCTGACCTGCTGAACTCAAACTCTATGCCTCCCCATTTCCTTGCCTTGACCACACTGAATTGTCAACTGGTTCCAAAACATGCCCCCCCCCACCCTATCTGGAGTTACAGAGAACACCAGCTCTGGGATCAGAGACCAGGGTTCAAACCTCAGTTCTACCACTTACTAGCTATGTGACCTTAGGCAAGTGACTTTACCTCTAAGCCTCCAATTCCTCATCTATAAAACAGAGCCTTCCCCTAGGATGTCACCCGTGTTCCATGAGACAATGTGCTAACATGTTAGCAGCAGGCTGGCAGTCATCAACCAATAAACGCTGCCTCTTGATTAATATACGAGTATCCCACAAAAGCCACCTTAATTGCCACCTCCTTCAGGAAGCCCTCAGAGGCTGTTCAATGGAGAGCCTGCTCTGCATGCTGATTGGACAGAAGTTCAGATGCTGTCAGAGGCCTGGCCTTGGCTTACATGGACTGGGGCACAGGGAAGTGGGGTAGTGGTGAACAGGAAGGTACAGGGCCGCTGGAGTGCAGTGCCAGAGGGCCTTGGAACAGAGCAGCCTCTATGCCCTTGTGCCAGATACTCAGACTGGCAAGGAAACCCCAGCCCCAGCCTTGCTTCCCCATTGGACAGGCCCCTCCTTCCTGGGACCCGCGCTCACCACCCGCTTGTCCATGTCTGCCCCGCTCTGGCCCTGCAGACAGGCCTGCAGGCGCTTGTGGACGCTGTGGGCCGCTCGCTTGGCCGGCTCCAGCCGCTGTTCCACCTGGGAAGGAGGTGTGATTAAGGATCAAGACAGGCTGTCTCCCACTGAGCAGGAAAAACTTTCTCTGGTCCCCTGGGGACCCCATGGCCAACAGCTTAAGGAATGACTCAACAGGGCCCCTACCTGGTGTCCCCGCCCCAGCCCTCTGCTCCAACAGCCTGCACAGGCCTGCCTTCCCATCCGCCGGGCCCAGGCACGTACCTGAAGCAGGTCCTCACCCAGGAACTCAGCGGTCTCCGGGGTGCTGCGGGAGCAGGGAGAGCGCTTCTGCTGAGCCTGCCTGGGTTAGGATGCCCCCTGCTCCCCCAACCCCCGCAGCAGGCCACCTGGACCCCAGTCCTTCCAATGTCCCTCCCAGGTGCGGCCCGCCCTGGGTGGCCCAGTTGCTTCATCCCGGTCGGAGCACATTCCATGGGGGTGGGAATAGGATACTTGGGTTTTTCCTCCTCCACCCAAAGCCCCGTCCTGAGCGAGGGCGGGCAGACAAAACTGAAGAGGAGGTTGGGAGACCCGCCCAGTGCTCAGCTTTGGTACACAGAAGCCTCTCTTCTGCCCACCCCCAAATCGTCAGCCCACCCCGGGAAGAGGAGGATTAGCTGGCCCCAAGAACGGGAAGTCGGGGAGCTCAGACTCCTGGGCGCAGTCACACAGCACTCTGGACTATGGCTGTGGGCAGAGGTGCACGGGCCCTTGGCCCCCCACCTGGGGACACACGGCGGAGGCCCATGGCAAGATGGCCTGACTGCCCAGGCTACATAGGGATCTGGGCTAGTGTGAGACTAGAACCAGGTCTCTGGACACCCAGTCCCCTCCCCGGGCCCAGAGAATGGGGAACTCCTGAGGCTGGGGGAAGAGGAGCAGAGAAGACAGGCCCTCAGAGGCTCCCCAAACTTCCGGCCCCCGGGCCAGCAGCTCAAAGGCTGGGTGGGGGTGGGAGCTGGGAGACCTGGGGACGTTTCCACCTGAGTCTGGGAAAAGCAGAAACGAGACAGAGAAGCAGGAGGCCCCAGGGCTGTGGGGAGGGGAAGGGACGAGGCAGGCCAGGGGCAGGACCCTCCTCCCACGGGCCAGGACCCGACTCCTTCCCCCGCCCCCGATCTGCGGCCCCAATCGACCCTCCTCCCTCCCGAGCCCAGCAAGCGGAGATGGTGAACTGGCCCATTGTCCAGAGGGGACAAGTGAGGCCAGGAGGACCATCCACTCAGAGACTCACGGAGGGAGGCAGAGAAGTCCCAGCGTCCTAGGGTAGAGCACGTTCTCCTGCCTGAAGCCCCCTCCAATCCGATAAAGGGGGTGGGCACCCCTCCCCCCAAAGGCCACCCCTGCTCCTCCAGCTCTGCCCGAGACGGGGAGACGGGGACGCCGTTCAGAAGGGAGGAGGAGAAGGCAGGACTCTGGCCGCTTACAGGGGTCTGCCCAGCTCTCCCCAGCCTCCCCCACCCCCGTCTCCCCCCACCCTTTTACGCCCCCTCAGGTCCTGCGGGGTAAGAGTGGGGGCTAGAAGGGGTGACACTCACCGTCCCAAGCTGCCCGTCTGGGCCAGCTGCCGCATGCGGTGCAGCTGCCTCTTCATCATCTTGGGGGCGGGCTGGGGGCTGCGGGGTCACGGCGGGGGGTCGCAGGCCCGGGCAGCCCCCGGCCCAGCCTGCCTCTCCCGCGGCGCGGCTCTCGCCCCGGATGGGTGGGCGGCGCTCTCGCTTCCTGGGCCGCCGCGCGGATCTCGCTGGCGGCCGGCTCTCTCCTCCCCCGCTCACGACTCCGCCCCCGGCCCCCAGGTCACTCCTCTCTCCAAGTTGGTTTCCGCGCTCTGCCCCGGCTTCCGGGCCCCCGGCGACCCCCGGCCGGGCCCCCGCCGCTGAGTGTCCGCCGGCCGCGGGCCGTCCACAGGTGGCGCCCGGCTCCTCCCCGCGGCGCCCCGCCCCGCCCCGGTGGCGGGAAGCAGGTAAGCCCGCTCCTGCCCCGCGCCCGCAGCCCGCCCCAAGCGGGGTGCCTGCCCCGCCCGCAGCCAGCCGGCCCGGGGTATAAACAACCTTTGCACCCCTCGCAAGGGAGAAAGAGGGTGCCGCGCGAAGGAGGGGTAGGCCTTTCTGACCTGTCTAGCCGCTCTGGGCCTGCAGGGGATGCTGCCTGCTCTCCCTCCCTCGGAGGACCTCTGGTCCCCCCAGAACTAACCCCCCAGCTGCTGGATGACTGACTGGGAGCTTTGGCTTCCTGGGGCCACGGGCTGTTGTGTGGCTGTGGACAAGTCCCTGTAATGGTCTGATGGGCCAGCTGCCCGGGGCCTGCCCATCCAGCAGAATGGACAAGACACCTCTGCCTGCTCCCTTTAAAGGAGGTGCATGCCACCCTCCAGCCACCAGGAACCCTCCCAGAGCAGTTCCCCGACACCCGGTTCTCCGCATCTCGCAGCAGTTTGCTCCACTGGTGAAGCTCATCACCTCTCATTCCTCCTGGCAAACAGCCTCAGTGCCCCTTCCTCTTGTAGAGCAATGATGTGGGTGCTGCTGTGACCCCCCCAAACTCACTAGTTCTCTTTGGCTCTCCACTCAACACAGTTAGGCATACAGTAGGTGCTCCATAACTGCTGGTTGTACAAGATGTGAGAGCCTTTGGGAAACAGCAGGCTCTCCTTACCCCGCACCCCTGTGGCATCAGGAGCCGCGGAGGTGGGGAAGAGGGGAGGGTGTGCCGCAGAGTCCTGCCACACCCACTGCACTTTGCTTTGTTAGTTTCAGTTTAGTTTGAGACTACTTGAGCAACCACCGTGTGCCAGCGCTGACGGGGTTCCGCAGACCTCAGAAGCAGGACCTTGGCCCCAGACATCTCCCTACTCCCTGTGCCCAGCTTGGGGCCTGACACACTCACTGGCTGCTTCTCTCCTCCCTAATGGGCAGGCCTCACTGAGGGTGGGAGGAGCCTCATAACAGCTGCCTGCTATGGCCAGAGCCTCCCAGCTGGGAGCCCACCTGAGGTTGGAATCCTGGTGGGAAGTTGGGAGGCTCCAGGATCAAAGTTCAGGCCAGGATGAGATGCCAGTCAAGGTTCCCTCCCCCATCTCCCTTTTCCCAACGTGGTCAGTGACTATGGGTGGCATGGTAAGGGAACCTCAGGTACCACCCTTTCCGTCCCTCAGAAAGTCTCTGGACTACGTGGTGCCCCCGCTCTGTTCCAGCCAAGCCTCCAGCCCAGACCACACTGGGCCTGGGCTTGCCTTGTTCTCTAACTGGTCCGAAGGTCCTTGAGGGCAAGGCTTGGCTTGTATCTCTGCCCCTCCTAGATTTGCCCAGTCCGGAGGCCCAGCTCTGTCCTGGGGAGGGGTCAGTACACGTGGGTTGTAGCAGCAGCTGTGGTGGAAACTACCAGAGCCTTATTATCAGGCTCAGCTGTTGTCCCCATCCCTGTCCTGGTCTCCAGATTCCCCTCCAGCCAGACCCAAGGGTCCTGGGCAAGAGGTGCCCAGCTTGTCTGAGTCGGATTCAGGCAGGTCTGCTGTGCCTCCTAGCTGGGTGATGGGTAGATTTTAGGCCCTCCCTTGTCACACTTGGATGTTGAATCATAGAAGGATGGACTCTCCAAAGGCTCAGTTAGTTACGGGCTGCTTCTTAGAAGAGTGTTGTAATCAGACGTACGGCCTCAGAAGTGTTCATCAGTGGGTGTTGGAATCATGGCCTTTCTAAACTGCAGACACAGAAGGGGGACTGCAGAGGTCCCCAGCCAACCCCTCCTGGCACCCTTCCCCAATACAGGGGCCTGTTGACCTGGGTGGTTATCAGGTTGGTCTTAGCTGGCTCCTGCTGAACCTTTGGGGGCCCAGCAGTATGCCTGTCAGGGTCTCAGACAGCAGGAAAAGAGACAGTTTAAGGGTGTGGAGGCAGCTAGCTGGCCAGGCTCTGGCTCTCACTAGCTGGGTGACCTCAGGTGGGACACTTCGCCTCTCTGAATCTCAGCATCCATCCTCCTTGGTAAATTGGAAACAACAGTACCTACCTCATAGAAGGGTTAAGTGAATTAATGTATGACAGATGCTTAGAAAAGTGCCTTGCGCTGTTTCTTGTCACCATCATTATTCGGCTTGCCAAGTCAGGAATGGAAAGACTCCCTACCCCCATTCCTGCCCCAGTGACCCCTGTGTGTGTCTAGCTGCTTTGGGACAATGAGGCTTTTTGTCATGTGCTATAGCATATCCTCCGGCAAGGCTGGTATCACTGTCCCCATTTTACAGGTGAATAGCCCGAGGCTTCTGGCTCCAGGTCCCCAGCTGGGAAAGTAGTAGAGGCCAAGCTAAGAAGCAGATCTGACAGTCTCCTAAGCCCACGTGGGCTCTCCTGGTGTGCCAGACCCAGACAGCATTGCCTGGGAGCTCCAGAAATGCTTGGAGCAACCCCTGTGGTTGCTTTGAGGGGCCTGGCAGCCTCTGTGCAGATTTGTCTGTGAAAGCTGTCTGGGCAGCGTGGGCTGGTAAGTCTTGAGCAGGATGTGGGCAGGGAGGTCAGCGGCTGGGTGGTGGTGATAGCAGGGGTCAGCAGCAGGGGCTGCAGGAGCAAAAACATCCCATTTGAGACACTGACAAGTTGCTTGTTTATAGCATTCAGCAGTGCTGCTCTCTGTGTGGACTTCCTCCCAGGGCCACAATGAGACCCCCGGGGGCTGTAAAACCTTCCTCCCCTCCCTCCCCAAGCCCAAAGGACTTTCCAGGAAATCCTGGGGTGGCTCCGAGGCCTGAGGACTCCACTTTAATCCTGATAGCCCTGGAGGAGTGTGGATTGAGCCCAGTCCCCAGAGGACAGCCTGACAGAGGCTGGGGGGGGATGGCTTGGGAGGTAGGGGGCAATGTCCCATCTGGTAGACATCTCAAGACTGCAGGCCCAGACTCAGCGCCTAATGTGCGACTTCTCTGAGCCTCACTTCCCATTTCACAGGGCAGTTAGAGGCTTAAGGCGGGAGAATGCAGGCATCAGGTCTACCGTGGTACCAGGTCTGGGGGCTTCTCTGGCCTGCTTTGCTGGGCTGGTGACCTGGTTGGGAGGCCCAAAGAGACTCGGGGAGGGGGCGTGTTGAGAGACCAGGCAGACTGGGCACAGTGGCCCGCCACTGCAATCACAGCACTTTGGGAGGCTGAGGCAGGTGGATTGCTTGAGCCCAGGAGTTCCAGACCAGCCTGGGCAACCTGGCAAAACCCCGTCTCTATAAAAAATAAAATTAGCTGGGCGTCGTGGCGCATGCCTGTAGTCCCAGCTACTGAGGAGGCTGAGGGGGTAGGATTGCCTGAGCCCAGGACGTCCGGGCTGCAGGGAGCTGGGTTCACAACACTGCCCTCCAGCCTGGGTGACAGAGAGAGACCTTGCCTTAAACAAAAACTAAAAAACCGACTAGGCAGGGGCAGGCTCCCAGGCTCTCGCCACTTTTGGCCGCCATAAACAGAGAAGCAGTGTGCTGCGGCTGCTGAAAACCAAAATTAACTGCTGCCTCAGCCAAACCAACAGAAGTGGAAGTGTGGCTCCGAGGTCTGGGAAGTCCCACTGCTCTTGGCATGGCACCGGGGTGGGGTCACCCTTCAAGAGACCACTGAACGCGTCCCCCAGTGCACCGCATCCCAGCCCGAGACTGCAGAGTGCAGCGGCCCAGACTGTGTGCGCCAACACGGTATGTGGGGAAGGCTCCTGCAGGGGGTGAGGCCCAGGGCCCTCTCCTCTGGTTAGACCCGCACCCCAGACTCTCAGGCAGATGCAGGGCTCCTGTGGTACCTCATGTCTTTGCTCTCAGGGTGCCACACTGGCTCACAAGTCCTTGCCAGCTTGTGAACTCTTGGGATGGGGCTGGCCCAGGGGCTGTTCAAGAAACACTAGCATGACTGAGGGGACGGGTGGGTTAAGGGTAAGGCAAGGGAGAAGGGGCGGCAGAGGGGTCCCTTGCTTGCGGATAGTGTTAGAGAGCGCACAGGCTGGGGGGTGGGCGCGCCGGGCAATTCTCCAGCTGTCACAACCGTATCAGAGAGGGGTTCAGCTGCCATGTTCTTGTTGGGAAGGCTGAAGGGACCCCTACCTCCCTGTCCCCAGAACAGCTGGGTCACTCCAAAGCTGACAGCCTGGCTCCTTTGCCTAAGGACTCCTCAGTCAGGCCTTATAGCTTATTGAGTCCCTCTCCCCTTTTCCAGCAAGGAAAGCACCTTCCTCAAAATCACACAGCAAGCCAGTGACCCAGCCAGAACCAGCCCCAGACTCCCCGCTCACAGTCCCACCTGTTCCCCACGCCGGCTGTACCCCTCCCTGCCATGGTCAGTGACGAGACTGTGCTCCAGGTGGGCTTGGGCACCCAGGTGAATGCTGCAGGCAATACGGTTTCATTCCAGGTAGAAGAAACTTCCAGCTGGAGTTATTTTTGGGAGACATCACAAGTGTGGAGGCGAGTCCTGCAGGGGTGGTAGGCAAACAGGAACGAGGCCACGTGGCTGGGACAGGGTGTCTGGAAGCCTCCAGGGGCTGTGCCAGGGTGGGAGTCCCGCTACAGGAACCTGATAGGAGGCTCCTGCAGGGCACAGCCAATGCCTCTTGTCCCCTCAGCACTAAGGCAGACGGGGAGGGGCTCTCAGCCTGCACTTCCAGGGCAGGCCCGGCAGAGAGGAGCCCTTGCTTGCGGATAGTGTTAGAGAGCGCGCAGGGTTGGGGGGCAGGCGCGCCGGGCAATTCTCCAACTGTCACAACGGTATCTAAGGAGAAGGGTTCAGCCGCCAAGTTCCTACTGGGAAACTAGACTAAGTGAAAATGGCTTCTTAAATGAGGGACTTCCCAGGGTCTTTATGGGCTCATCAGCTCAGGAGAAGCCGCGGGCAGCTTCCCCCAACTCATCTGAGCAGGG